ATAATATAATATAATATAATATAATATAATATAATATAATATAATATAATATAATATAATATAATATAATATAATATAATATAATATAATATAATATAATATAATATAATATAATATAATATAATATAATAATATATTATATCATAATATAATATAATAATATATTATATCATAATATAATATAATATAATATAATAATATATTATATCATAATATAATATAATATAATATAATATAATATAATATAATATAATATAATATAATATAACATAACATAATATAATATAACACAACACAACACAACACAACACAACACAACACAACACAACACAACACAACACAACATAACACAACATAACATAACATAACATAACATAACATAACATAACATAACATAACATAACATAACATAACATAACATAACATAACATAACATAACATAACATAACATAACATAACATATAATATAATATAATATAATATAATATAATATAATATAATATAATATAATATAATATAATATAATATAATATAATATAATATAATATAATATAATATAATATAATATAATATAATATAATATAATATAATATAATATAATATAATATAATATAATATAATATAATATAATATAATATAATATAATATAATATAATATAATATAATATAATATAATATAATATAATAAGAATATGCTATGAAACAGCTGTGTTATAGGTTAGTGCCGCAGTGCCGCTGGGACGGGCTAAGATGTTTCAGTGCGTAATTAAACCGCAATAACATAATGCATTTTATAAAGAAAAAAGTGATGCCCCCTCCCATTTCCAGGGCCACTGTAGATCTGTACTCATTATATATGATATGTTAAGATGCGATACAATTTTTACAACTAAAACAATAACTTTAAAGAAAAGGAAATTGAGAGTTAACCATCTAAAACTTTTAGCTATAATTATTATAAACTTTACAAAAGTAGGCTAGGGCTAGTTTATTTAAATCAGGCCTATGCGTAGGCATAATTTACTAAATGAAAATGAATTAATGTTAGTACCCCCTACTTTTAATTTGTGTTACAACATTAAGATTTTTGTGTTTAAATTGGGTTTAAAATTATTCAGATTAATAATTATTAGGCTACACCGAATATAAAAAAATTAAGAAAGGTTGGTAGTATTATTGATTGTCGAACTTTGAATTCGCAGAGAGACTGGCTATGACATGTTTTCTTTCGTATTCAGGATAATCTCCCCTTCGGTGTTCTGCCCTAGCTTGTAAGTTGCAACTGATCCAAAAATAACACCGTGACCTCAATGGATCAAAACGATTGGGCGCCTTAGTTCAATACATATTTTTGTTTTGCTTTGATTGGCTATGTAGCTGTGTCATGGGGGTGTGTCTGTGACAACGAGGGAAACGTCATACAGCGCGAAAGTTTGGTAAAAATAAAACTAGAAATGGAATCTGCGGAATAAATTTTATAATTAGTTTAAACAACGTTAAGGATTACTTAATTAGAAGCCCATAATAATTCGTAAATTGTTCAGAATATATATTCCCGTTATGCTATTTTTAAAAATAACAATTTTTTTTTTAAAATTAAAAAAAAAATTAAGTTCCACAGTGCTGAAACTGATTTTATTTCGTCTGAACACTAGCAGGCAACAGCTTGTCTGGAATCAACACACACTCACATTTAGACTACACAACAATTTATAGTTTGCTAGTAGTGGTATTACAAAATACAACAAAATGTAGGGTAAGTTAATAAACATTATTTAAAACAATTAATGTGCCTGTATTATAAAAGAAATTGATTGTTGATCTATACTGTCTTTATTTTGTTATTTTATTTTTAATCTTAATGGACTGCTTGTTTGGTGTTCAGCGATCGTTGGAGCATATAATTTTCCCACTCCTTGTTAGGCGTGTACAGTTTACGATATATATAGGCCTACAAGTATTTTACAACATATTCAAGGTATAACTAAGACTTCGTCGTTATAGAAGGAAATAAAAAAAAAATTTGATCAAAATTACACTTCTTTCAAAGGCATTTTGGCACATACCCTATAAGGACGCGTAACAACCCGTTGTTTAGTTAGACGTGTTTGTATGTTCTTTGTGATGATTGGGACAAGTAAGGCAGACATTTATTAATATGTATGATTAAATTATAGATTTTAATAATTTAGCATTAAATATAAAAATGATAACTGGTTGAATAGAATTTTAAAAGATTGAAGATAAACAATTTAAAAAGTATCATCGCTATTCTTTTAAATTTTAAACAAAAACCAAAACTAGGAATTTAAAGGACAGTGTTCGTTGTCCTCCCATACAAATTAAGTCCTCACTGAATTGTCTTTCTCCCTAACAAATGTAAGTTAACCGCAGGTTATGGGGGGGGGGGGGAGACCACACCTGGTGGAACTATGAATAGTGTTTATAGCCAATACCGGGACGGTAGTGTTTTGTGGGGAGGAGGGGGCGCAATATTGGGAAATAGCCTCAGACGGTACTCGTCACGGACCCCCCCCTCCCCTGCAGGAGGGCGCAGTCTCATTCTTTCATACCGTGTGACCACCCCTGCAGGAGGAAGCTGTCTCATTCCTTCATACTGTGTGACCACCACTGCAGGAGGGAGTTGTCGCATTCCTTCATACCGTGTGACAGCCACAGCATGAGGGGGTTGTCTCATTCCTTCATACCGTGTGACAGCCACAGCATGAGGGAGTTGTCTCATTTCTTCATACAGTGTGACCACCACTGCAGGAGGGAGTTGTCTCATCCCTTCATACCGTGTGACAGCCACAGCATGAGGGGGTTGTCTCATTCCTTCATACCGTGTGACAGCCACAGCATGAGGGAGTTTTCTCATTCCTTCATACCGTGTGACAGCCACAGCATGAGGGAGTTGTCTCATTTCTTCATACCGTGTGACAGCCACAACATGAGGGAGTTGTCTCATTCCTTCATACCGTGTGACAGCCACAGCATGAGGGAGTTGTCTCATTTCTTCATACCGTGCGTACCTTTACTTTGTTGCATCATCCTTTCTCGTTTTCCTGTGCCCTTTATTGAATCTTCCCTCCCGTAATCCTGTCCACTTTATTGAAACGTTGAATTATTGGCCAACTTCTCTTAACAAAATGATATATGTGAAGAGTTCATTAAAAATACAATATATAATGCAATACATTTTTTTTATTTGACTGGATTTACTGTGATACAAACACTGGCGCTCCCAGCGGCTCATGGTAGTTAACCATGTTTAAAAAAGCTGCCCGGGGGTAAACACACCCCTACCATCTTTCTTAAGGGGTCTATGGCCAATTACATCACAGCAAAAATGACATTTTCAGACCCTCCCTCCCCATGTCCCAACGTGTCTCAAATCCATTACCCCCCCCCCCNTGTATCCGTTAACATTTTCCCATAATGCATTGAGATGTAGAATTATTGGGAAACTGTGACGCGAAACAACGAAGTCATCCACAAGCTGAATCTAAAATGACCACAACAGTGTTTGCCTACTTTTTCGAAATGCGCAGAAGGTGCGCGCGAATGAGTTCAGTTCACGGTACCTGTAATACCTGAGGAAATTTTGACCTCAAATTAATTTTTTTTTTAAATTGAGTAAGATTTTTCAAAATTATAACATTTAACATTTTACATTTTTTTTTTTATTTTGTGACGTCACAATTTTTAACCCCCCCCCCCTGTCACGAGTGTCACAAATTCTCAACCCACCTCCCACTGAGCGTAACGTTATTTCCAAATGACTCCTTAGCCAATTAATTATAATCAACCACCTTCAGTTTTGGACATTATTGGTTACATGGGTTCCCTTTATTTTGGTTTCACATATAGTTTAACGAGCGATTTAGTCTTTTCATTTCTATAATCTCCATTTTTGTTCTTTTCATTTCCCCTTTCTGAAAAATGAATAGATGTTTATAATCAACTTTCAATGAGTAACTTATTTCTCTTCCTTATTGCATTGATAACACTACCAATGGGTTGTACGCTTTTTGTCGCTGTGGTTGCTTAGGTCAATTCTACTTCTTACTTTGAAACAACAATTGGGGAAGTAACAATGGCTAATTTTCTTAAAGGGATTACTCTGACGGTCCTTGATCCGTCACATTGTCTGCTGTCTTTGAATGCCGCCATATCGCCGTTTTCTTTCAGTGGTTATAGTAGCATATGCCGTAAATATACACCAACCGATGAAAGACCACCACATTGGTTGCATGCACGCCAATTGGTTCAGTTACAGCCAGGCGTCACAGCAAGGCGGTACAGCCAGGCGCCACAGCAAGGCGGTACAGCCAGGCGCCACAGCAAGGCGGTACAGCCAGGCGCCACAGCAAGGCGGTAAAGCCAGGCGCCACAGCAAGGCGGTACAGCAATGGGGCACAACAAAGACTCTCAAGTCTAAATGGGTGAATATAGCACGAATGTCTCCAGGTCAAGTCTCGTTAAATGGATCATTTATTAAAACATCCTCACTCATGTGAATACACGGCTAATTTCGGTCGTTTGATCTTGCCAGAGTTGACAAAATTCACCTGTGTTGTCTGTTGACTATACCTTAGAGTTGGGTGAATTATGGGGATACTAGTATTGGAGTAATATGGGAAAATTGTTTGAGATGAAATATGGAACACTAGTGTTGCATTAATATAGGATAATAGTGTGGGGGTGGAAATGAACGATGAAATAACGGGTTAAAAAAGCTATGCGAAATGAGTTACACAATAATACATAAAAACTTCTCGTCAGTAAGTTAAATAACATTTATTTATTTTTTTAAAGAAAATTTAAACATCTTTCTAAAATATATTTTTTTAAAGAATCTTTCAATATCTTCCTAAAACATTTTTCTTAAACATCTTTCTAAATGTAAACATCTTTCTAATACATCTTTCTCAATCTAAAACATCTGTTTACATCCAAAACATCTTTGTAACCCATTTTAAACTTTAAAAAAAAAATTAATTAATTAAAAATTCCAAGATCAACATAAATATTGATCCACGCCTGAATTGTATGATGATAATAATCAATATATGGAAAGATAAATACATAAGTTATGTTATAAAATTTTATAAAGATTATTTTATTTAATCACTTGATGTAACATACGTTTCACTTGAAGTAACATACGTTCGTCTTAAATATATACGACTTTTGATTAGTTAATCATTTTAAAAATCACTAAAATAAAACAAAATTGGAGATATTTAGCGCAGGCCTCTTAACTGCAGACCTTCCTTGTCCAGAGGTCATTCGCGGGTGGCGAGAATAGACACCCGAAATAGCCTCGGGTTCTCTCGTGTCTCCAGTAAACAATCTCATGACGTGTGGTTTTCTTTCAAAAGCGCCAACAGGCTTTAATGGTAGCGTGTCAACGTAATCATTGCCACTGACGAGGGCACTCACAAGTGCCAATATTGTGTAGGCCTATGTCTAAGGAAGCTGTGGTTGGGTGCGTTATGTAACATATGGACCACCGTGAATTAACATGAACTATTTATAAGTTATCTTTGTATACTCAGGTCCACTTACATAGGTCTTGTCTAAGCTTATTCACTTATGTTATTTAATGATTTGAACTTTAAAAAGATACACACTTTTATAAGTGCAGTGCAAAATTAACGACTGAATTGAACACCATAGTCATAGTCTTCAAATGTGGACACAAGCCTATGTTCGAACACACACACAAATATATGTTCATTTCAAACACGTTTGAAGTAGCTAATGTTGGTTAAAAAAATATGAGACTATGTTTAACTTTTTAAGGTGACATTCAAAGAATACTTAGTTCTTAAATCAAATTACTACATATATAACTATAACAACTAAATAATTGAATGAATCCCCCAAAAAACAGTCAAACACCGGCTTAGATTTGGATAGATGACTATAATAACTTAAAAAAAACAAAAAACAATAACAAAACATCTGTAATAATTATTATAACTACCAAAATTTTACTGTAATCCTTAAAATTTACCAAAAATATACAATAATTCCATCACTAATAACAATAAAAATTAATTTTTAAAAGTTTAGTAAAGGAAATATTGTGTCTGGTATATACTATGGTGATAAAAAGGGCTAAAATCAAAACTGTTTGTAACGGCTCTGTGACCCTTTGAAAATAGCCGCCGTTTGTTTATGCGCCCTCTTCACTTCGACCCCCGCCTACCAGTACCCTCGAAAAATGTAAACATTACTCGAGCGCGCGGTTTTTCTCTTCATCCACATTCCCTGGCCCAGGAAGCAAAAGGTACGTCGCTATCACGCGCCAATTTCGAACGCCTTCCTACACATTAGTAATTGCAGTTCAACCAGACAGACGAGCAGACTGAGACTGAGCGAAGGCGGGTGAAAACGGATGCCCGTTTTGACCTAAATAATAGTGTATTTATAATAATTTCATGAAGATCTTCATTTAAATCAGGTAAATTTAAACCAAAAGTAGGTTGAAAATAAAAACATAGTAAATTTATTGCGTTTTTCTTAACGTTCAATTATCAATAACTCAACTGTCGACTAAGAAGTAAGGCCGTGTCGTGAAATATGCTACGCCTACGTCAACCGAACTTCACTAACTGTGCTATACCGGTTTATTTACAATAGCGGGCTCGCGCTTTTTCGGAATTTAGAACCTAAAGAAGCTTCTTGAATTTAAAAAAATAGATTAAATCGCCCTCTGTCCACTAGCCACTAGGTCATAAATATAAATTAAGCTGTCGAGACTAATTTTGCCTTTAGTTTTTTTTTTTTTAGTTAAGTTAAAGTTCTATTAAAATTTAAGGCTATTCAGTATTATTAATTAATTAGTATGTATAGTAAATTATTAATTATAGCTCGGCCTAATCAATTGTTATTATGATTATTAATCTTATTGTATAGGCCCTCTGTCTCTCCACTACTCACTAAAAGTAAAAACTAGTCTATAGCCTATAGTTATTCCATTTAGAAATAGATTTATTATAAAATTAAAAACGACTGCTAGCCCATAATTGCCTACACTTACACATGATTTGGACGTGATATCAACTTTGATTTTTAAAAATATATTATAGTATAGATAAATCATTTTAATTTAAGGATCCAGAATAGGTAAAATAGGTTATAGTAATTGGACCTAATAGTGATTAATATTAGTATAGTACACTATTTTTAAGCGTGTGATATTGTGATTAATAAATGTGTGTAAGTGTAGACATAATCATTCAAAATCATTTAGGAACTACCTAGCAAGTTAATACTTAGTAGGCCTACTCATTTAAACTATATTAGTATATATAGTATAAGTATAGTGTAATAAAGGTCTACTCTTCGAAGCAAAAAACTTGGCACTGTTAAGCTATAAATGACCAAAATTATGAACAAAAAAATATTTCTAGATTGAATAGCTTCTCTTTCTCTATCTAGAGGCTCTTTAGCGACGGTGGCTCAGCCAGTCGGCCTCAAATTGGTTTTGACTCTGAAAAACATGGTTGTTGATGGGTTCTAGAAACTTTGGCTCCCAAAATTTGTTTAATTGTCCTGCTGATTTTTTGTTCTTTTGTTAAATGAGTTTTCAGACCACTGGCCTTCTGGCCTATTTTTGACTTTTTTGTCCTTATTTAAAATTAAAAGTTTTAATCCAGAATTATATGAATTCAATTTTAATAATTACTGTGCATAATTTTATCATGGCCTATTTTATCACAACCATTCAGTCTACTAATTTATATTTTTTCATTACAGCAATGGCAGATGACATGAATTCTTTAAGACCCGAACTAATGATACCTTCATCTAAAAAATATACACACAAAAATGTGAAGCGGCTGAAGCGTTGTTTGTCAGATAAACCATTTTCATCAAATGAAAATAGATTCAGCCCTGTTAAAAAAGCCAGCAGTAATATTAAATTCTATAAGGCGTTGGGAAAGGAAAACATGGATCCAGAATTATTAAAAACGGGACAGTCAAGGGAAAAGATATTCGACGTGAATAATAAAGTTTCAAGGAAACCTTTACAAAGGTATGTGGATGATATTCCGAATAGTGATGAAGACAGTTTACAGTCGACAGAAAGGGATTATTTATTTGACTCTATTAGCAATCAAGGGCAGGGCTTTCAAAATCACTTAAATGTACATTTACTTTCAAAAGATAGCATTAATTCTGCATCTACTCCACCGCCAAGTCCAACATGGAATTTAAAAATGTTATGCACCGCCGTTAGTCCTGAAATTCGCAGAATGCAGCAGGAGAAAGAAAATGGCTTTGAAGAAGGGAGGTCATCCACGGTGTCAATGTCTTCATCCAATGCAACAAATCGAATTGTTAGCCCTTTAGATGAAAATAGTCACGATGGCTTGGATTACTGCTCATCGCAGGACAGTGTGTTCAACTTAGAAATGGAGGTGATAACTTCTCGTAAAGATAAATCATTAGGAAGGCTCTGTGACAAGTAAGTGTTATCATGTCTATGGTTTTCTAGTACTCCCTAGAGATTTCAGGGTTCAATTAGTGATGATGATAATTTTGTAACCATTGAAATTGAAGTAGAATTTTAGTTCTTTTTAAGCAATAATGAATATATTATAACTCAACTGGTTATTTTTTTAATTAATTGTGAAGATGGTGTTATAGTTTTGTTTCTTATGCTCTCCTCATACATGGGTCAAGTTTTAAGAACAGAAACACATTAAACTTAACCTCAATCTTAATATAAAATTACAATTTTTTTATTTTGTTTAAAATGAAATTTGAGAGAATACTTTGATGACACTGGGTGACAGGTTTTAAAGTTGAAAATCTTGCCAAATCTCTTTGTTAAATTCGCCAGCTATATTATAATCTTTTTGTCTGTGTTCGAATAAAAAGTGCAATGGAAACCTACAATTTTAAGGCCAAAACAAATATTTTTGCATCCATAAGGAATTTGTATGTTATTAAAAAAATGAGGATTATTATTTTAAATTAAGTTTTTTTTCAAATGATGTGAATGTTCCATTTGTTATCACCATGTTTTATAATACAGGTTCCTCCAAAAATACCCAGAGCATCCAGGAAGCATAAGAATTGATATATGTTTGGATGAAGTAGCCAAAGATCTATGTAAGTTTTCTTATATTGTTATTTTATAAATATTGTATTGGTCTGGTAAATCATTTACTGTTAGTGTTTAGTCTATTCCCTCAGTTATTGCACTCCTGTGGACTAAGTGTTTCAATGCAAAAAGTAAACATGTCGAGTGCTGGGTGGCTGACAGGTCCAGACTGAGCAAATGTCAAGTTGATGGTCTGGAGTTCAGTCCACAAAGCCCAGTCAAGCAAAAACATCACCAGCACCCCGGGTGGATGGAACTCATTAACCTTGGATGGCAACTCATATAAGAGAAAGAAACTCTGATTCAAATCCGGAGATGCCCGAAGACGGATACCATTGGTACAATGAAACAATGCGACAACTCCTGCGACACCACTGGTGCCAAGCTGTTGAGAGAGGCAATTTGCTGTTGGGAACCAGCTTATAATCCTAGAAGAAGAATTCCAGGCCTTGTGGATTTCATCCTACGAAGTCTACACCATAATTGTGATGGACGGATGCCAACAAAAAAAAGTGAAATAATAATAATAGGAGGTCGTATATAGCGCTGTACCCCAGCCTAGGGCTGGGCTCTCCGCGCTGTACATAAAATTTTTTATCAAAAGAAACATAATTATGACATTAAAATAAAATACATTTATGAAACAAAGAACAGCAATGTATATTCACCCACACCACCACATAAATCTACTTTGTACAAAAAAGGGAAATCCGGCAGTCAACACTTATTCAAAATTTACTAATTTAGCGAGTATATTTAATTTATAATAAAGTAATCCTTTTGTTGATTTTCAGCTGTTGAACGGAGGAGAATCTATGATATTGTTAATGTTCTTGAAAGTGTGGAGATTGTAAGCAGAGCTGCGAAAAATAAATATACATGGCATGGAAAGACCAACCTCCCTCATACACTAGTTAAATTAAAGGTCTGTAACACTCACAACGTCAAAGAATTTTTTGTTGTACTTGATTTATAAATTTAAAAAAAAATTGTTTACTTTAATGTTTTCTATTTCATAAAACAATCTAATAGCCAAATGCTATATTTAAAATAATTTGACTGCTTAAAATTTTTTTTTAAAGATACTTGAAAATGAAAAATTTTAATGTCTCTTTACCACCAAGTTCCAGTATTTCACAAGAGATTTTGTCCCACTTCTTGGCCATGTGTCAATTTTAAACTTAAAGTGTTGGAAAGATTTTTTTTAAAAAAATTTTTAATTACTCAGAAAAATTCTATGACAGCATTGTTAACAGATTTGATGGATAAGGATGGAACTTGGTTGTTAAGAATTGTATTTTTTTTATTACCAAATGTTTTACTTTCACACAAATAACAGATGTTTTCTTGTTGCTTTAGATACTAGCAGAACAAGACAAGATAGCTGAGCAAATGTTCAAAATAAAAGAGCAAGAAATGGCTTGTAATTTAGAAGAATATGTAAGTCTGACGTCTCCAGTGAAGACACCAACTAAAGTAGAAGATAAAGAGTCTGAAGCAGGGCAGAATAGTGGACCCAAAGCAGGTTTGATTTTATGATTTTTTCTGTAAAGGATTCTTCCCATTTTATTATGCAGTAGGTGCAAGAGATTTACAGATTCTGGCATGAAATATTAATCTGCTGTTGATGCAAGAGATGGATGGGAAATCTCTGGGAGCAGAGTTTAACCAGGCTAATACAGTGTGGCCCACAAGTGTAATACACTTTTTAATGCAAATGAAATAATCATGTTTGTTTAATACATTTTGAATATATTCACTATCACACTAGATATAAAAAAAAATGTAATGTTTGTTTTTATTTGAATAAGTTTTTATTGAATGCAACAGTTTAAATTTTATTCAAAGGCTCTAGTACTTTGAAGCAAGTGGGAAATAAAACTTAGTTCTATAAATTTGCTAAATTTGTCTCCACAGTTATGCCAAGGAAAGATAAATCTCTTGGTATTATGAGTCAGAAGTTTCTCATGCTGTTTCTTGTTTCAAAAGTAAGTGTTCTATTATAATAAAATTGTTATTCTTGTTAAAATGTGTTGTATTTACCCTCTTTATGTCAATACTTTTTGCCGCCTTTACCCCTACGTCTTCAAACACCTCCCTGTCTTCACACCTCCCTGTCTTCACACCTTCCTGACCTTCACACCTTCCTGACCTCACCTTTCCCTAAAAAATCTTATCAGCCCATGTACTCTTCTAAACTGATTCTCCCTCATCACTGATCCATTGCTACCATCTCTCATAAATTACTTTCTTACCCTCCATCCCACTCTTTTCCTTCTTTATGCTCTCCCTTAGATCCTTTATGTTATTATTAGTGGTCTTATATAGCCCGGTACCCTAGGGCTGGGCTCACTGTTAATGTTTGTTTTTATGTGCTTAGGTTTTCCGATTATTTACTTGTTTTTTGTTTTTTCCAGCCAAAAACAGTCAATCTTGAACTGTCTGCAAAAATTTTAATTGGGGATGGAACTGTATTGAATGTTGAAGCCTCTAAATTCAAAAGTAAGCTGAATCTTTACTGTGTGAATGCCATCATTCTTATATTTCATTAACTATTTATTTTAACATACCATTGAATTGACCCTTTTAACATTAAAAGAATGTTCTGAAATGTTTTTTCAGCAAAAATAAGAAGATTATATGATATTGCCAATATTTTGACAAGCCTGGGCCTTATTAAAAAGATTCATGTGACAGAAATACGAGGAAGAAAACCTGCGTTCCAGTATATTGGTCCGGATGTGGATGATCTTAACGAATATGGCAGTAAGTCAATTTAATCTGTTGTCACTAAAATTCAATATTTTCAACTCTTCACAGAACAAATGTTTTTTGTAAAGAAAACCAAAATATTCAGTGATGCTCATTAATTTGTTGTTGAAATACTTTTCAATGTATCCATTCATTCTGTTAAATATAAAACCCTATGCTTAGCAGTTATTATTGTTTTTTAGGGGCACACATTTTTGATTTGAAGTTTTAAAAATGATTTAATGTTACTTGATAGTGTGCTGCAATGATGGATGTCATAGGCCAAGTTCTCGCCATTCTCTATTGGACTGTGTTAGAAATAAAAATGGTACGTTAAATATATTTTCATTAAGCCCTTAGTCTTTCTGCAAAATATACTATTAATAATTTTTAAATAATTTTAAAAAACATTTTTTTCTATTCTGATGAATTTAATATTACCTTTCCAGTCCAAACGATTATGCACGGATTTCGTCCGATAAAGCCAGCTGTTGTATTGTCCAGTGTGGATATAAGAAATGGTGAGTTTTTAAGTTTTTTTTGTTTTTTTGCTTATCAACTTTATTATATGCACGGCACATAGCACATCTATTAGTAGGGTTGTCTGTGGTTGACTGGTTACCTGTGAAAATATCCATATATTGCAGCCATCCACATCTTAACTTGTCTTTTTGTTTAAATGTTATTCTTGTTTGATTTGGCAACTGTTTTTATTTTGTAATTCTGATGTGAGAACATTTTAGACTATTAGTGGGCAAAATATTTTCCAAAGATGGCACCAAATACAAATCAGAATGGAAGTTTTCTAAGCTGTATGAAATTTAGAAATTTCTGCTATTCAATTAATTTAAAGCCAAACCATATTTTATCATCTTTATGACATAATTTAAGAGGAAAAAATATCTTTTTTTAATCACGATCTTTAAAACAGACACATTTCATTTGTCTAAGAAGTTCTCTTCAACAATTTGGGACCTGTATTTTTACTACATAACTTTTAATGGGTTAGAACAAAGGTTGGCAAAGTTTTTGTGCGAAGGGCCACATAACAAATGTAAAGCTCTTGGGGGGGCCGCATGTATATTATGTCCAATTTTTACATGTCGATAAACATTTCTCTATATCAACATCGGTAAATTCGCATTTTAGTATTACATGACAATAGTAGAGGACTGTTTAAAACAAAGAAGAAAAATGGCAAGAAAGTTTATCAAAAATGTTAAAACAATCATAACGGTACATGAAATTCTGTAACATTCAACAAAATAACTTAAAAACAAATAAATTTTTTAATTTATAAATGCCTTTGAGGGCTGCATATCAGTTGTTGGGCCGTAGTTTTCCCTGGGTTATAAAACCTAATTTCATACAGCCATAAACATAATATTGAAACTTCCATTGCACTTGATCAAGATTCCTGTTACCTTGAATAGTTTCCTACAATACTGGTAGTATTTTCAAAAATGTTGAGACAAAGAAGTGATAGTATAGTCTCTTGAATTTTCAAGTGCAAAGTGAAATTGATAATACAAGGACCAACATGCTTCTAATATTTAAAAGTATTACATTTAAAAAGTAAATCTGTTTTGCCAAATTGACTTTGCACACCTTAATTCACAATTGGGCTACCCACAACTGGTCTAAAGATTTGTTAAAAGTGCAGGTTTTCTGTGAAGTCACCAGCTGAAACAATGAACTTATCTGTCTCAAATAAAGTTCTAATACTTTCATAATGCCCTCATTTCAAACTTATATTTTTTTAGTTGTTTCTGTTACCTTATTCATTTTTCTTTCTATCAATAAAATGGAGTCATGACTCAATGGTTGGCAACAATTACTAGTAATGACAAAATGTGCTGAATCTGGATGTATCAAACATGGTTGATGTTGAAGTCCTATTTTTTCCCCCCATGCAACAGATCTGAAGCTTAAACTTCAACACTCTCAGAGTACCGGTAGTATGACTGGTGGTTCAAGTATGATGCGCCATTCCTCATTTGATGAATTCTGTAAAGTGGTTGAGCGGGAAAGAAATCTGCTAATTGAATCAACGTCTGAACCCACAAGCCCTGTTAAAAAGCTAAATTTTGATGGTGAGTCCGGATCTCTTAAAAAGTTTGTCTTTTCTTTGCTGCTTCATTTCATATTTGCTTTTATTATATTTTACACTTAACCACTGTAACATCACAAGATTGTTTGTTTTGACAAAAGAATAATGCTCACAATAAAATCATTCTGCGTATGAATACAGGTGATGAATAATAATAAAATTTAAGCATGTATTTGCAGTCTGAGGACGTGTTTTTTTTTTTTTTTGGGTTATCAGTGAGATGATCATATTTATTGCTGTTGAGAAAGTAAAATGGTTTATAATGAATTATATTCAAGTACTGCTTCGAATTCATCCCATGGGAAAAATCATTCTGCGTATGAATACAGGTGATGAATAATAATAAAATTTAAGCATGTATTTGCAGTCTGAGGACGTGTTTTTTTTTTTTTGGGTTATCAGTGAGATGATCATATTTATTGCTGTTGAGAAAGTAAAATGGTTTATAATGAATTATATTCAAGTACTGCTTCGAATTCATCCCATGGGATTTGAGTCATTCTATATTTATGCAATGTATTTGTTTACTGTAATACAATGAAGTTAAGCGTGTCAAAACCTTGCTCAACATTTAATTTTACAAGTTGCACAAGTGATGTCCAAGATAATAGATAAATAGAAACCTGGTCTAACAGTAATAATTAGGCAGATTACACACAATAAATAGGACATTTTATAGCTCAGCCTTTTATTCCCCCCCCCCCCCCCCCCCTTTTTTTTTCTACCCTTTTTTTTCCCCCCCCCCCCCCCCTTTTTTTTATCACCAAAACTTAAGTCTCAGAATATCCTCTTTATAAAACTCTTAAAAATAGACCTCACTTTTAAAATAAGTCTTAACATTTATTGCATGTAATTCTTAATTTGAATTTTTATTCTCTTTTTATCTCATGCTAAATAGTATTCTCTGTATTTAAATATATTATCCTCATTTTAAAAAATTAATACCCTCTTTGAATTCAGTTGGTTATTTTCTGGTCAGTCAGTAAATTTATTGCGTTTGTTTTAATTCAGATACACAAGAGGACAAGGCCCACAAGTTTGCCATGCCTGTGACCATAACCAAGCACCTTAGCTTTGATGAACAGATGATGAGAAATGTTCAGCCGTCTCATCCTAGGGCAGTCCACAATTTTCCTGAAAAAATCATTCACAAACCGAGGGCTATGCCTGCTGTAGCTCAAGCAAAAAATATTATTTTATGCACACCCACCCCAGGCACCAAACCTACAGAGACAATTATCTTGTCCAAGAGTGGTGAGGTCAAATCCATCAGTAACCACGGGACATCTCAGCAAATTCCATTGTCCAGATCCCAATTTCAGCAGGTGCTCCAATCGCTCAAGATAGCCAAGTCACATGCCCATAGGCAGATAAGCTTTAACAAACCACCTGAGGAGGAAGCTATGGGGAATACTATACTTGGTCAGAGCCTTCTGCAATCACCCGAGTATAACATGGCTGTTCTCAACGAGACGAGCCCCATGCCCGGCACAACATTTCTTAACCGTACTCTGAAACGCAACATGGTAGAGGTAAATATTCCCAATGATAAAAGAATTAAGTTGGAAGCTCCAACACCGCCTTCCGGAACGGTCTCGGATGAGCCTGAAGCTGGCTTAACTCCGACATTGGTTAGTCATGACTTGAAAATAGGTCTGAGGAGGCTAAACAGTATGCCCATCACTCATTCAGGTACCACACCGTCACCTACTGCTCGATACATGCCACAGATCATAGTTCATCGAATCAATAGACCTCAGACTAATCAGAGGATCACTGTCCAGCTGGGCAGTGATTTATCAGGCTCCACTAAGTGTGCTACTGTTCTCAGTAGCGGTACAGCTGCTATGCTGAACGGTGGCTCCAACAAAATTGTTATTGACAACCTGTCTTTGACACCTGGTACATCGTTCTCAACCCAGCCAAGAACATTGACCAGTACACCTAGAAAAAACCCTATCCCTATCAGAATCATTTCCAACCCAGCCATTGCTGTCAGCTCGCCGTCTGGTTCACAGGCCAGCCAAGCCAACCCATCGGCTGTCGGGGAGGCCTTCACCCCTCCTCTTACACCCAACAATCAACCTCTGTTGACTGTACCATCATCTGTCCCTCAGGGGGATCAGTCTGTCATTCATGTTCTTCATCAGGCAGGAAAGCTCAGGAATGTGCTCACGTCCACCGCCGCATCATTGCCGCCTTCACATAGCTGCTCCACCTCACCATTTAAGGTTGTAATCCCTTCTTCAAAACAGGCAACAACCTATTTGTTAAAAGTTCCACCTAGTAAGTTTAGTAAAACTGCCACCATGTAGAAAAGGTTTTAAATATACTAGATGAATTCATCTACATTCAAATTTTTCCTGCATGAATCTAGGATGCCTATACCTTCAGCTTAGAATTATGCATATTTGCATTTTCACACATTTAGATTCACAGTAAGATGTTGTTGATCCGGATTTCTTTGACCTCCTCTCGACTATCAACTTAACTTGAGTTTTCACTCTATAGATAAACATGCCTTGTAAATTGTTAGGTCACAGTTTACCATGAACATTATTGGTATATATATTTAAAAAAAAAAAAAAAATTTAAATTATTATTATTAAAGTTATGTGGATATGTGAATCTGTTCACTTTAAGTCATATTGTGATTCTCACTCAATAGATTATTTTTTTTAATAAGCAACCCTTAATTTAGATGTCCGGATTATCAACATCTTACAGTAAACATTGGTTAAGTATTAAGTCTGCTGAGATAGTCTAATTGCGCTTTATTATCTTTGCTGAAATAACAGCATCCTTTATTTATTTATCTAAATGATTTCCAGTTAAAATTCGTTTTCGTTTCAAAATTATTATTTTTTGGTTTTTACTTTCTTGAAAACTAAAAAGGAAATAATGTGAAATAATTTTGTTGCTTTGTGCCATATGGAACTCTGTTTTAAAGTCAAATTTTATTTATGTATCTTGGACCCCGCTAGGGAAATTTCTAATACTTTATGTTGAGCTTTTATCTTGACTATTTAAATTTTAAATAGATTGGTGTAGATTTAAATTACAATAAACTAAGTTTTCATCAGTAAAACTGGTTGTGAAAAATAAACTGAGCATTAACATTTTACAATTTATTTCTTTTAAAATGAAAGAATTTCTTGATATACCTGAAGTTGAAGTAAAAAAAAAATTGTTGAACATTTTAAAATATATTTATATATTTTCCTCTCTTGGTTTTAAAATTTTATTTTTCTACTTAAGTAGAAATGGTGTTTGTTTTAATTTTGTTGGATTGAATAACTTTTATACAGATATTATCTTTTTTTTTTTGTATCCTATGTAATACATTAGATTTGTACATGCAAGAACTTTAGCTTAAAGATGTGTTATCATTGCCACACTAGTTTGCTGAGCTTATTCTACCTGAATATTTCATGTGCCATGTCTGTCACTTGCAGCATTGAGTCATTGTTGCATTTACATTGTTTGATCACTAATTTAACTGCACCTAACTGGGATTGTGCTGAATAAAGTAGGGCTAGTTACTACCGTTGTCTTTGTGATTTCCTCTCACTTTTATCTCCCTTTTAATTTAATAATTTTTTCACTATTTATTTAATTTATAATTAACTTATCTAAAACCAAAGTGTACGTCTGAACAGGCAGGATATCTTTAACCCTAATTGTGTAATATAAATTGAAATCAATTGTCCTTACTTCAGATTTTACCCTGCTTGTAATGTAATCATAAACACATGTAAAACAATTTTTCATCACCACATTGAATATTTAATTCTTTTGCACCTTTGTAAAGGTCATCTTCTGACAATGTCATAACATATTTGTATCTAAAGTGAAGAAGAATTAATGGTTCATATTTTATCAAGCTCAATGTGTAATGGTCAATATGATTTCCTTATTAAAAACTAACATTTTGATTAATCATCAAATATTATTTTAAATGACCTGCATCACATATATCATTCATTTCTAAAGCATTAGACAATTTCATCGTAGTAATTGACCTGTTTGTTAGTGGAACTCTAGTTTTAAATAAGTCATTTTTTATGATGTACATTACTTCCTAAAAATATTGCTGTTTTTATTTTACTTTTATTTATTATTTTTAGAGGAACATTGCTTGAAATACCATTTAAATAATTATTTATGGGAATATGTAATGGCTGTCAACTGGGTTGACTTGGGAAGCAACAGTTACTGTTTTATTTTAAAAAAATGAAAATATTCTAAATTCATTGTTATATCTATATGTGAAAGTTCAGCAGTCATTTTAGTTTTGGAAAACTTGTCTGTTATAGAATTCAATCATTTATTTATTTTTTGTTGTGAACGTTACATGACAAATTTCCCCAGAAATGAACTGTCCGCGTACAAGTTCTCAAATCTTATGTTTCTTTGGGCTTTTTTTGTGTGTGTGCCAGGGATGTCTGTGTTGTGTACACCTAAAAATATGAAGTGTATTTTCATATTGTCCTTATGCGTTTTTTTTTTCTCTACAGTTTCCATATATCTGATTGCTTCAACCTGAACGCAGTCCTCCTGGTATTTGAGCTATGATTAGTATCACTTTCATTAGGGGGTGAATTGTCATATCTAAAGCTAGAATTAACAATTAATATTCAAGTCATTGCTAATAACTTGCTTTATAAAACATATTTATTTGAAGCCAATATAAAAAAATGTTATAATTATATTTAAAATGCATTCATTAAATTAATTCACTTTCCCAAATTATCTTGGAAGATCTTGTAAAGTAAAGCCTGATCAACTTTTGTGTTTTTATTTTATGCTGAAGTCCAACATGTTTTTTTTTTCTTCTCTGTAGTGTAATTATTGTAAAGCAAGTAGACGATAGTGCACTGTTCATTTATTCATTCTAGCCCATGTATTTTTCCAGTACCGTTACATGTGTATGACGGACCAAAGTCAATGTTAATTTATTTTATTTCTTCAAATGTTGTTATAGGAAAATCTAAATTTTTCCTTACTTTCATAAGAACTTTTCTATAATCAGATAACATTTTTAATAGCGACATACCACAGAGTCAGACAGTATTTGATAATACAGTTTTAGACATTTTAGTTGAACGAATCGGCCAACTAAGACAGTCCCATTTAGTGGGGGATACTCAACTATGCCATTCATGAGGATAATCTAATTTTTATGAAGATACTTTACAGACCTAAAGTAATATCTTAGTCACTGGAAATATTAATTACAGCATTACAATAAGAAACTCTTGGTTTCTTATCTCATAATGAGGTAATCCTTACAGTCATTACACTTGTTTTCATCAAATATACTTTATTTGGAATAGGAACACTCTTCTAATGGATTGGCAGGCTTTAATGTAAGCCCTATAGAAAGATCTCAATGAGGACAAATGGCATTGTGTTGGTTTGACTGAAGCAAACACAAAGTGATAGATCAATTATACAAGTCTTGCTCACATGATAGACAACAGTATTTACTTTGTTGTACAGTTGCTGTAGATAACTGTGAGGGTGTATTTGGCTAAATGTATTGGATTACGGTATTGCAGTTCCTACAGTTTTTAACTAAAATGGCTTCTTAATCTAGACATTCAGTATATATTTTTTAGGTCATCTGATTTAATGGTGTCTTTTCCATCAGTTTGGAAAAGCCCAACACTCAGATTTTACCAGTTAAGCAGTTCTTTATCTGGTTAGTTTGAGATCCTGTCAACCTTGACCATCTGGCAATATCATCATAGGTATTTCTTCCATGCTGTTGTATCAATTTTACTCTTATAAACTTATGTTTGGGTGCAGGGATGATGTTTGCTAGTTCATTCTTACAATGTTGATTGGACTTGCCAGTATTAGCATAGTAAAAACCCATTGTGTGTATTAACCAGAGCAAGTATAACAGCTTTATTACAATACATTGTTGCTGGGACCTGTGTCCTCCATTCAATGTGTCCCTCTATTTTAAATTGTGTCTAACCTCATCAGGTGTATTGTTGTTCACTCAGCTTCCAATGTTCCAGTATTCTGTTCAAATGCGAACCACTCAGGTTTGCCACTCAGTGTGGCTCCATCATAATAAGCATTCTATGTGATAGTTTAGCTAAAGCGAATGTAAGTTGGGACAAGTGAATCTTTGTTGTGATAATTGTGACTAATGAATCCAATCTTTAGCTGGGTGCTGCAATGTGTAAATGCCTTTTCAAGAGTTTTACCAGTTTTTTTTTTTTATGTCTTGCTTATTGTCATACTGGGTAAATTGTTGATAGATTGTCATACTATATGTCAATTGTTGATAGATTTGTCTCTGTATTAAGATATGATTTTGTTTTATATTACAGCTGATTAATGTATTGATTGTTGTTAAATTTATTTGGTCATGAATCTTAAGCAGTCAGTAGAGAAATGACACGTTTGGTCTCATTTGTTAAAGAAAGCATTTCTTTAGAACAACTTGCATCAAATTACTTGACACCTTAAGGAAGAGGAATAAGACTATCAGTCTGTATAGATTACTAAAATAGAACAGTTGACATCCGATTCTAACTGGAGTTTAACACATTAAAAGTGGTAACTGTAAGTAAAGTATCTTGGTATTTCAATGTCTGTTAGAAACAGAGAGGTTGATTGTATCTTAATTCATTGTTAATTGCACAGTATTCATTATAGATAGTGGTGGAGTCTTTGACCCATCTGTACTACACTCAGTGATCAATTTGTTGGTGTTCTCAATGTTTGATGACAGCAGAAATTGATAGATTTGTGTTACTTGACTTTACTGCATGTCATAGAAGAATAAAAGCCTAGAATTTGTACACGTTTGAGAAAGTATTGTGCGGGCTTGACAAGAGATATTTCTGTATGGGTTTAATTACAGCTGGATCTTAATAAAATTACATTGATGAGTACGTTTCTTTTATGAAATCTGTGTTTTGTTCTGGTGAATTTTATATTGAAAATGAAACAGTTTCTAATTCTACCAAGTACCGGAGAACAATTTGACATATCCCATGTTGGGATAGAAATGATAAAAAGAGTTGGGACCTATAAGATAAGACTAATCGAAGTTATAAGACCTTGGGCGTCTTCAGCCATGTGGTGGAGATTCGTAAATTAATGTAATCTTAACAACTCACAATATATATTTTGAATGGTCTGGGGGCGATTGAACTAATTATACAGACCTGTTTACTCTTACGGTTTGGCGTACGATTTTGAGGTTATAAATTATATATACTACAGGTTTATTTTTTACTATTAAGATAATGTATTGAACGATTTTGTGATGATATTGTACGATTTTAAGAGT